TATAAGATTTTCAATTAAGTTATGTCACATATTTCAACATAATAAGATTTTCTTAAACCAAATTAAATTAGGTTTAAATTTTTCTAATGCTATTTAAATTAGGTTATCTTCACTATTTTATAAATAACAATATATATATAAATCTTTTGACATATGCTTAAAATTCTTACTTTATATTTATATACACGTATCCGATTAACCTATTTCACATGTGTGTCATGATCACGTTTGATCAAGCTTTATATAATAAATTACTGGGCTTATATAAATGGGGCTTATTTAGTGGGCCTAATTGAGGCTTAATTAGTTGTATACATCCCATCAAACATCGGATCTGATGTTTTCCTTTAATTTTTAAGAAGAATAATATTTATAAAAGCATATTCCTGATGTGTTCCTCTCTCACCGCGAACCCCAATAAAATTACATACCTAAAGCTATGATGTCCGAGCAATCGAGCAGAAAGAAGGTGATGGTTGCGTCTCCGTCGTGTGGGTTATTGTCTTTGCCAGATGAGGTGGTTATAAACTGCTTGGCCCGCGTCTCAAGATTGGGGCAGGCGGCCTTATCTGTGGTCTCAAAGAGCTACCGCTCAGTGGTGGTTTCGCCTGAGTTGTACGAGACGCGATCTCGAATGGGTTTGAGCGAGGAGTGCGTCTATGTATTCTTAGACACTCCTCTTGACACAAACCCGCGCTGGTTCATCCTCCGGCGAGGAAAAGAGGAGTCTTTTTCGAATAATCGGCTGATCCCGATCCCTTCGTTCCCAACTCCGCCAGCAGCCTCCTTTGTCCCCTTTGGATGGGGAATCTATGTAATTGGTGGAATGATAGACGCCGTGCATACATCGCGTGTCTCGTTCCTGGATTGTCGGACTCACAAGTGGAGCCACGTCCCCTCCATGGGAGTTGCTCGCGCTTACGCCAAGGCGGGCGTCTTAGACGGTAAGATATACGTGATGGGAGGCTGTGAAGACAAAGATCCCTCAAATTGGGCAGAGTTTTTCGACCCAAAGATGCAAACTTGGAGTAGACTGTTTATCCCTGTTCCGGTTATGGACCAGGGGATTTCCAAGGTGATTCGGCGGGATTGTTGGTCCTTCAACTTTTTGACTGTACAAGGTATGTGGAATCATTTAAACACAAGAGATGCTTGCGTGGTAGACAAATTGTTATACTGTTGCGATATCTTCGGAAGAATAACGTGGTGTGACCCTTGGAGTGGGGTGAAGAAAGGGAGGATGGAGTGGAACAAGGTGTACGGTTTGGATGCTCTGCAAGGGTCTTTCCACTGGAAGTCCAGATCCATCTCTTTCGGTGGGGAGATGGCGGATGTATGGCATTGCCATATGCTCAAGTGTGGTTACACAAACGGCCTCCAAGGCTTACTTCCGGGGTTCAAGCTCACCAAATCCGGTGGCAACATTGTCATCTTCTGGGACCTGCTCGTCGAGGAGACGTTGCAGATTTGGTGTGCTGAGATTTCATTGGAGAGGCGCGACGGAGGCCAAATTTGGGGGACCTTCCAGTCGTCCGATGTTGTCCTAACTATTGACCCTCCCCTCAATTGCTTTCAAGTTTTATATTCTGTTAATGTTAATGTTTGAAATACTTTCTCTCTTATTTAAGAAGTGTTATATTCTTTTAATGTTAATGTTTGAAATACTTTCTCTGTTATCCAAACCGAATAATACATACTGATATCCTACACATAATTTGGTTCAAATCTCAAGTGAAAAACATGTAAGGGCTGGACGAAATAGAATATGATTGATGATTGGGTTTACAGCGTATTT